GAGGCTTTGAATAGATCACATAGTTCAATTCAATATATAAGACTTTAAGAATGCACAAGCATCTACTTAAAATCTATTTAATTTATCATCTGTGATATTATTATGTACAATTCCAATGTATTTTGTTCATCTCCCTTAAATAAACAGGCAGCCTTAAAGTATAAAATATTCATATACAAATACACATAAATGTGTGTACCGTCTGAGCGGCTGATAGTGCCCCAGGCCTCAGTGTGAGCTTGAAGACATTTATGAGTTTTAAGTAGTTTAATGTGCAGGTGCTGAAGATAAACACATTGTGAATGAAAGCCGGGGAACTTTGGTAGCACAGAAACAAGTGGCTATTCTTTGTGACCATATGGATCACTCATATTACCATTATTTCAAATACTCCAAAAAGCTGGGGTCCAGGGTATAATTGGCCGTTTTTGACTACTTTTGATTTGGCCTCTATATTTCACCTTTAAAAACTGTCTATCTATCTATCTTGCCAATCTGTTATTTTCTTATTTTGACAAACTGTATCAGCACAATTTATCTAAATTCAGACAAAATTTAAAATACGAGTAGAAAGTGATATTTTTGACTGTAAAAACCCCAGGCATGTTTAACGAATCATTTTCATAACTTGAAATGCAAATAGAAATTGTACATTATTAAAAATATGCACAAGTTTTGCAAACAACAAAGTTATATGGTACTATTTACCTAAAAATGCAGCCAAGGCTCAGACGTTTTTTATATAACCATTTAAAACTATTTACAGAACAATCAGGTGTTCTGCATCAAATAAGAAGACACACAAATTATTTATGCAACTCCAAAAAATAGTTTGTGTTCACTATAACACAGATGAGAACAGCACAGGGGTAAATCCTGCAGGTCTGACAGCAGGTGTGTCACTCAGCGTTTACACTGCAATCTGCCTTTGGTGGCTTTTTTGCAGCAAATGTCACAGTCACTAGTAGAACTGACACACAAAACAAAACAACGACTACACTACACCCTAACTACACAAGACAACACACTAACTTGAGACTCCAAACAGGTAAACCTCACAAATTTCTCATGTATCAAAACTCTCTCTCTCTCTCTGCTCACTCCTAAAACTTCCCTCTCTTCCCAAACAACCAAATGCCACATGTTGCCATATCATTTTTTTGATTGGTCGATATGATACATTTGTCCACCAATAGGGAAGGAGTGTTTTTTCTTTTTTCACCAATGACTGTTGTTTTTCACTCAAGCGTGTTTGCTAGCGCTCTCCTTAGAAAAGGCCGTTTTTACAGTTTCTTCCGGGAGTAAACGCCACTTGTTTATTAAAAACAAAAAACACCGGTTTTAGTGGCCTATCAACACAATTTAAACACTGGTGTATAGTTTGAAGTCCGCACGTTCGGCCCAAGTTGAAATGGAGACTCTGGGTCCGTGGACCCCAGAGGGTTAACCAGAAAGCCTTAAGTTAGCTAGTTATGTATCAGGCTAATGTTTAAAGCTTTCACTTGAGCAAAGTAACTCATATCACTGCTAAGTAATGTTAGCTAAGTTCACAGCATATTCCATAATAGCGCTGCCATACTACATCACACTCAGTGCATTTCAATCATTTCTCCAGCGAGTTTGACAGCTAGCAAAATAATAATCATACTTTTTTAAAAATAGCATGTGTAACGTACACGTACTGGAAAATTATTTACTAGGACTCACCTATCATGCGACTGGAGAGCGCAAACTCCGCCATTGTTGTTTTCCATCAAACACTCATTAAAACAGCAACCTACAGGTATGTTAGCGCACTCATACCTATACAAATGTTGCCTCTACATTTTGCGACTCATTTTATTTCTCTATCTGATAAGAAAACTATTAAATCAGATAGTTATTTTTGGTGAATGAAATACAGTTACACTTTCAAGCACTTTTAAGCACCACATCTGAAATTCAAGCACTTTTCAAACCTTGAAAAGACAACATTAAAATTAAAGCATTTTCAAGGATTTCAAGCACCCTACGAACCCTGATAATAGTAATAAAAAAGGAGAGTGAGAAACAAATGGTGACCTTTGTCAAGATGGATTTGTTTACCAACAAACATTCACACTGTCGAAACCTGCGTCACGGTGACCTTCACACGGAGACAGAGCTGATGCCACTCATCTGTTCCCATCTTTGCGCCCTAAATCACTGGGACACCTCATTTCTGCTGTGCTGGTCGATGTACTGAGCCCTTTCTCTCTGCTGAACATATTCATCTTCATTCAATCATTGTTAGCTGTAAGCAGGCAGCCCCAAACGATCCATTTCCCTAACAACATCTGAATGAAATGACCTCAGTGTGGCACTAATCAACACCTGAATATTATCACCATTATGTTGTGTGTACTGTCTCACAGCATAAGTCTTAATAATATCACATGCAAAGTAAATGCCCTTTGTTTTCCCGCCTGATAAAGTCACGTGGTTTGCCGTGCCCCGCGAGCAGTCTGCGTCCAGCTGTTTTAAGTTCAAAGGTTTAATAGTTAAGTGAAAAATCTCCTGATCAGTTTTATATAAATCGAGACAAAAATATTCTTTCTACATTGCGTGTGATGTTTTTGTGCACACTCCACTTCTTTGATGGCAAATAAAGGCGAAAAGATTGAAATAAATCAATAGAACAATGTATCCGGCCTGCTATTATTCTGTGCGAGCAATAGGTGGCAGTGTTGAGCTAAAACTATTTATTATTACCGACCCGAGAGTACGTCTTAAAATATTCCAGTCTATGACCGCTTATTATATCTGTTAGGGTACTCATTTCATTATGGGTGCACTTCTTCTGTATGTGTGATGAAATCATATAAACTCATTTTGGCCCGCTCTTCTTTGCAGCGTTGCTCATTCAGGTTTGTGGGCACAGCTCTCGTCCCACCACAACATTGGTGGCTACAGGTAACATTTCTTTGTGGTTTGTTCAGTTGCTCTTTTGTAAACTGAAACCGTGCTACCACGAGACTCAAAGAAGCCGTAGTTTTAATTCCATTAACTTTAACCTTTTAACACAGCCCTGTAGAGTCTGAGATGCAGCTCTTGGCTATTGTAGTTTCGCTGAACATGGTCTGACCTTGGGGTGAATTTGTTTGGATATTCACTTTTCACTCCTGGGATAATTGTGGTAACACATCTGAATGTTTACACCAGCAGACTGACAGATCTTCAGTTTTTTTTATTGAGGTGCTTGGTTAGCAACCCCTGTGAAACCTTTATTTATTTTTTTACACATTAAAAAAATGTAAATTTCCCTGTCAGGTCCTCTACCAGAGGCCTGGGAGCTTGAGGGTCCTGCGCAGTATCTTTGCTATTCCTAGGACTGCGCTCCTCTGGACAGAGATCTCGGATGTTGTTCCTGGGATCTGCTGGAGCCACTCGCCCAGCTTGGTAGTCACATTGTCACCTTCCCGGCCATACTCTGCACAGATGTTCAAGTATACTTGGTCATAATGTTCATTCTATGTCCTGTCTGCTAGCATCTTACACCCTGCTGTTACGTGCCGGATTGTCTCAGGGGCATCTTTACACAGCCTGCACCTGGGGTCTTGCCTGGCCTCCATGGATCTTGTGTTGATGGCTTGCTCCTATAACACACTACCACAACTCTGTGTTAGCTGGTTCCACACAAGGACCCAGTACATTCAAATCTTTTAATGCTGCCGACTGTTTTTGGCATTTTGCTACAAGCATTCGCACCACTGTCCATGTACATCTCACAAACTGCTCTATTTATATCTATATTATATGCCCATGTCTTACTATCTTCATTTCTTTTTAAATGACTTGTTCCAGAATCAGATCATGACGAAAAGTGATTATCAGTGCTCAGACACAAGCAGCACTCTCTAGTTTCTATATTAATCCATTCAAGTTTTTCATGTGGTTTGACCTGAAACTAGTTTATAATTATCTGCCTTCAGGTATAGTTCAGATAAATGTGAAACAGGATGTTTAACAGAGGGCTTAATTGTCTGCACAAATTCATTTTGTATCACATACTTTCCACTCCTGCTCAGGTAGAAGGTTATGGTGGAGACAGACATCCACTCAGCTCTTTGTCTGTCTCCTCTTATACAATCGCGAAGAAACAATTAATAACGAAGCCTCACTGCTGTGCTGACTGCCTTTCAAATGCATGCACATACAGCAGACTTTTGTGAGCCAGCTTTGGTCCTTCCACACAAACTATTCGTCACCACAGCGGCAAGGTCTCTGCAGCGACAAGCAGCTTGTTCCGGCCCTTTTCCCCTTGAGGGCATCAACAACAAAGCCTGCCTTCATGTTCAAAGCCGCGCCGCGCCTCTGTGACGGCACAAATGTTTATGGTTTGAATTAGCTCGTAACATAGCAGTAAGTAAAGAAACAAGAGAGGGCTGCTGTGGGCCTGTAATTACCGTCTCTGTCTGCTTCTGAAGACAGTATGAAATTATCCACCGCAGACAAGGAATTCCCCACACTGAAGGAAATGTTAATAAAGGGCTTTAAGTACATTTCATGCGAGCAAATCTCGTTTAACTACAAAACTCAGCTAACTGTGATTCATAATGTTGATTTGTTCCGATGTTTGAATAATTATGCACAGCCAAGAAATAAAGATGCAGTTTGTCATGTAAGATTAGTTCCACCCAGCCTCAGTTTCTTTCGTACTTAGCACGTAGGCTCACGTATCACCACAAGATATATATTTTATTTTCGAAACAACAATAATACACAGAAATATAAAGCATCACATCAACTCTTTATAAGCAGAGAAAAATAAAGGGTTTTGTACAAGACATCTAAAAAGACCAATTCAGAGCACAGAAGCAGAAATCACAACTAATAAAAGCGATTACAGGGTGGGATTTAAACAAAGGGGATAAAAAAAACAAAAAAAAACACAAGCAGAATGTATAAAAATGACAAATTTGCTTTAAAAATAATCCCTACCGGGTAAATACAATGACTATGAGCCCATCAGAATCAGGACTACTGCATTCGAGGACACTAGAAGCTCTACAAAGAGCTGGCTCGTCTCAGATTGGTAGATGCTACTGTTTCTGAAACCATCCCACTAAAGTTTGCAGGTTTAAAAGTCATCATCATTCCAAAGAGATCAAAATCTACCAGCGTTGATGGTAAACTCTCGGGCCTTTGTTGTTTACTCTTCAGTCCCTAAAATGTTAAAGACTAGCACCACTGGGCTGCTGTTAACATCAAGAGCCTGGACAATGTAAATAAGCACAGTACAAAGATTTAAAATGTTTTTCATGCTCACCCACTGAGTCTTTGTCTAGTGTTAGAGAACAAGAAGGAAATGGTTCCACTTCCATCACAGTGGGTGGCTGAAAGGAAACGGGACTAAAGCTTTGACTGTCTTTCTATTTCTGCCATCGCTTTTCCCAACATTTGTTTTTCTTCAGTTTTTGATCTTTTTTTCTTCTTCTGTTTCCAAAACGATCAACATTATAAAGGCTAATGGACGCATTATTAAAACACACGTATATACTATATGTACAGGCCTAAAAAAAAAAAGAAAAAAAAAAGGGAATTTTGAGAAGCTATTGGTATTTACATGCCTCTTATTTATCTCAACATGTCCCTTTGTTAAAAGCTGTGCTTTGTACTTAAACTGTCTTATCCTCACAGATTATTAAGAAAAAAAAATATATAGGGCTACTACCCCCCCAGACCTGCCAGCAGTTATTTTCCACTGTATCGTGTTACAAACCTAAGTGGTAGCAAAATAGACCAAAAAGTCTCAAAGGTCATACATCTCTTCTTTTCATTGGTTTCTGTATATTATTCTGTTTTTTGTTTTTTGTTCTTTTACAGTCCTGAGTGCACAAAGTCAGCATGGCTAATTTTAAGGGGACCTTTTATATTTTTGTTATACACACGTACCTTTACAGTGCTGCATGCTGTTATTAAACATGGCCATTACTTCAGATCCTGTAAGAGCACACAATAGGTAATCTCAAGCAGAAAGCTCTTAAGCGCCTTCCACCTCCTATTCAAACCTTCAGTTTGCAAAGGTCAGCCAATCAGAAGAAAGGTGGCCTCGAGAGTAGAGGAGGTAACAGTCTGCTCCTGACAAAGCACAACCAGAGCTGCTGGATGCAGGATCAGAGTGACAAAAATGAGGATTATTTTGACCACTGAGCTCAACAATAAAAACCTGGAGGCAGAAATAAGCATAACGGGTCCCCTTTAACGATACAGAAATGTACAATATGTGAGATGTTTTCAAGTCTGTATGTGTGACACACTACAATATAAATTGGAAAAGCTTCCAGAAATGAATGCAGGATATATTTCACCGATAAAGCACCACCTCAGCTGCTGCAACACCACTTTACTGGAGAATCAACATTTTATAAAAGTGCACCATCCTGAATGATCCCACATGTGAGATATGTAACTGTGATTCAGGTAGTAGTTCAAACCAGCACTTGATTAAGAACCACCTGAATGGCAGCAAGTTTGACTGAAGCTTTGCTTTCCTTTGTTTCTGTTTGAAGTTTGACTGTGCAGCTAAAACATTCTGTTATTCACCCAGACAGAAATATATTCCTATTCCTTCACGCTGTATTTTTATAAATGTTGGTTGACTATTCCCACTATACAATTCTTTTTCAAGCCATCTGACTGGGTCACATTTTCATAAAGTATTAAATGCCCAAAAACAGGAACAAAATCATGTAAAATGCATTTAACATGCCCATACACATGCATTACAAATTCAAAAGTAATGGTTAAAAATTAAATCTTTTTTTACATTTTTTTTTGGATCAGCCGTTTGCTTTAACATCTGTACAAAACAGGTAAAAACTATGAGACTAATGTTTAAACAAACACGACCAGACAGGAAGAAGCTCGTGTAGCAATAACTTCGGTCCTTTAGGTAACAAAAGATAATTGCAGATGTCAAATTTAGAGATCCTTCTAACATTTAACTGTTTTAATGCACTCGTCCCCTTTCAAAACAGACAAGTAAATAAAAAGTGCTACTGACAGCTGGTGGGGAGGAAGAACAAAGTAACAGTGGCTGAATGAGGGGGTTCGTCATCTTTCAGTACTTGTGTAGCCGTTCTCGTCCGTGTGCAGTTTGTGTGTTTCTAGTCATTGACAGGAAATGAGCAGGTGAATGGTCTCCCTAAGAGACGCTGGAGCAGCGGAGACTCGGGGAGCCCATTTGTGTGAGCACCTTGTCCAGCCACTGCAGGGGCCCGTTCAAGTGCAGCTCGATCCAGCAGGGGGTGCTGGTCACCGTCTGTCGCCTGGGAGAGACCAAAGAGGCACAAAGGGATGTGAGGTAAACAGACACAGCTGTTAAGAGTGTGAGCAAACTTACAAAGTCACATTGCTCTGCTTTCATTACAGCGTTGATGTAAGACAGACAACTTTCACAGCTTCTCTGAGTTACACTTTAACACACTGTGTCACTAAAGATAGCATGCAAAAATTCTAGTGACTGAAAAACCAACAACGGCAACTATTGATTTTCACCTCTTAAGATATATATTTGTAGTTCTAATCAATGACACATACTTCTTGAATCTGTACAGTTCAAATAAAGAAATCATTTGGAAGACTTACAGCAACTGCAAAAAAACTAAAACTACAAAATAATGCAGTTTCTTAAGCTTTTTCTTTAGTTTTTTTTCTCAATAAAGACAAAAAAAGGACCATAACATTTTTTCCTTTACTGCTTTTCTCACAGCAGAAAGAAGTGAACAGACACAAGGGAGTAAAGAGTTAAACAGACACAGCCAACAATGGAAACAGGCAGTGAGAGTGAGGTGAAGGTGGAGGTAGAGAAGGAGGGCCTGGCTGCTCCAGTAACCTGAATCCTGTGTTTAAGTGTCTCCACATGTGAGCATTTGGTCTGGACAGGACTGCTGAGCAGTCACTCCCAGCTCAAAGGTTTCTCCCTTGTGGAAACCGCCTGAGCACGGCCAACTTTCAGCCAATCATCTGCTTGCCTTCAATTCCATCTCTTCCTTTCTTACTATCAGTGAGTCAGACTGTGTGGAAAAAGGGGAGGGAATGGAAGAGGGAAAGTCTGACATCTCTTTTTGACACACCACATGTGTGTTTGCTTAAAAATAGTCTGGTTTGCCAACTGGAGCCCGTTTCTATAGACGAGGGCTCTGTGACATCATTGACCGGATTCACCAGTGTGTGCACATGCCAGCGAGCGGGGGCGGGTGGATTGTGGGATGTAATTCACAGTCTGTTTGTGTCTATTGTCTTCGTTTACATGCAGACCTCGTATGGATTTTACACTGCTACACTGTTGCAGAAACAGGAGACGAGAGAGTGGCTAGCATTAACTCAGCGCTGCAGCTTACCTGTACTCGGCTCCCCAGCCCTTCACAAAGCTCATGCGGATGGTGCACATCCTGGTGAGCTGGTACACAGCCTCGAAGCCCTGGTTTACTGACTGTGCGAGCAGCGCAGCAAACTCCTGGTTGTTGAAGATCTTTAGGTTACATCCTGATGAGAACAACAAACAATAGCTCAATTAGAGGTGCTAGAAAAAAAAAAAAAATCAAGATGAAGCTGATCTCTAGCTTCTACAAAACACAAACCATTTAAATTTATCTTACATGAGAGTAGTCAAACTAACATTATTAATCTGATGGCTTTCAACACAGACTTGTGTCAAAAGTGGAGGAATATCTTTCGTGGTCCTACCGAATCAGATTGCAGTGATTTGGATGAAAACAGCCAAATTAAAGGAATGCGTACTTGAATGCGTCACTGACTCAACTAAATGCTGCAATGATTGTATAAACATCTTGTTTCAGACAACAAACTGTTAACATTTACAGATGTGCTTGGGGAAAGCTTTTAACAATCCAAACCGATTACGTGGTAAAAATAAAGAGACCAGTGAGGAAAGGAAAAACCTTAAAAACCTTATTTTTAACCTGACCACAGTTTAGCCAAAGGAGACATTGACGGGCTGGCTGGTGATGAGGTACGCGATGTGTTGTAGCCTCATTTCATGATTGAGCCTCAGGGAATCATTTCTGAATCATCAATCAATTTGTTTTTGTGTATATTGGCCTCTGCCTCTCTTTGGAAAACTGAATGGAATCATATAGCACTTCAATCCCAAATTACTTTACACACACACACACACACACACACACACACACACAGCAAACACAAGTTTTGGGGATCGAACTGCCAATTCTGTGAAAAGTGGACTTTGGTCTTTTTCTATTGCACTGTCTTCCGTCCTACTCATTTGTCTTACTCCCTTTCCCTGTCCTGTATGTCTCTCGATGCTCCCAGTGTTAGCTGGACACATACCTGGAGGGATCTTGCAGACTGTAGCAGGATGCCAACCATAACGTTGATTACAGTTGGGGCTCTGGACAAAGATTGCACTGTCACTGAGACATTCTGCAAACACTTCTCCACCAATGTAATACAGTCTTACGCCACGACCTTGAGGTAAAGAGTGAGAGGCAGAGAGCCAAAACAAGTCAGCAACAACAATCATTAAAAGTACAATGTTGTATAACAGGTCTAAATCAATACGTAATCATGTTTGTTAATAAGCCAATAGTCTTTCAAGAAGTCAAGTGAATAAAAGTGTTCTGAGAAGGCAAAGGAGTTATTATCCAAATGGAGTCATAAGGCCTGGCCTACCAATGTGTCTGCGCGTCAGCTCCACAGCTGCGTTGCGGTTGACATTGGACAGAAGACCCAGGCAGAATCTCTCTGAGTTGGACGGGTCCGTAAAGCCGTCCACTGTCAGCGAGGGCTGCGAGGCGTGGAAGGTCTCCCCGACTCGCTGATTCAGCTCGTAGTAAGAAATGGAGCACCAGAAGGCCGGCTCACAGTACGTCACTGGCTGGAGGTCTGAGAGAGAGGAGGACCCCAAAAAAGAAAGAACTGAGTTCAATACTGTTGCTAATACAGCGCAGGACAATTAAACTAATGCAATGTTTGAACTTATTCTCAAAGTCAAAGTAGTAGAATAGTAAGACAGAATTAATAGACAGAAAACCATTCAGATGGTAAAGAAAACCTACATTAAGAGCAGTGATAACAAAGAAGAGGCAAATATATGGAGAAAAGGGCTGAGAGGCTGCAGACAGAGACAAAAAAAGAGAAAACCAACAAAAACACAGAGAGAGCCTGCGTCACAAAATGTCAAACCCATACACTGTTTCCCAGAAGCTTTAACCAGACAAAATGTGGAAACTCAACCCTCACTTGAAGGATTCTGCAGCCCAGTTGGACTTGTCCATGGTACTCTTCAGT